TGAGTCGTAATCGGACTGGAGTCGGAAGCGGCATCGGAATTCGAAGGATAAGAAGCCAGGTTTTTTTTCTTGGATCGTATTTACGCTCCAGACGAGTGGTTTTCACTTGYAGTTTCAAGTATGAACTGCTTCGACTCTGACTCCGATTCCGTCGCAAACGAAAACCAAACTTAAACTYGTTACATAATGATAAAKTTGTCCTTGCTTTTCAGGAGTGTACGCAWCGTGTTCCAGAGTGTTCCATCATGTTTCTCGAAATACTTGCAGCTGTTGTGATGATATCATTGRTGATAGTTGTGYTACTWGCCTTGGCAAAGACCATGCRTGATTCTGGTCACTATCCACCCGGTCCTCGTCCATATCCACTGATAGGYAACCTGCCTCAGCTAAGTGGAACCGAAAGCTACAAAGCCATGACGAAACTTGCAGAAGAATACGGAGATATCTACTCTCTAACCTTCCCTGGAGGACAAAAGGCTGTTGTCATCAACACTGGCGAGCTCGCAAGGGAAGCATTCACAAAGAGAGGAGACGACTTCTCTGGACGGCCGTCCACGTTTATAGGCGACGCCATCACACGGGGGTCAGCAGATATAATATGCGCTGACTTCCATCCAACAATGGTTKCTCTACGCAGGATTGTGCATTCTGCGATGAAGATTTACGGCCATGAGCTGCAACGCYTGGAGGGRACTATTTGCTCTGAGGTAGATGATGTTGCTAAACGATTTCACGAGCATAKKGGTCAGCCAGTTGATCCCAAAAACGATATTGCTGTGGCTGTTYTGAATGTGATATGCTCCTTGGTGTAYGGTCAGCGATACGATATCCATGATCCTGAGTTTGAGAAGATCATGGACTACAATGACAAGTTTGTTGAGATCTTTGCCAGTTATACACTTCTTGACCAGTTTCCCTGGCTCCGGTTCTTCCCGTTGAAAACTGTTAAACTGATGAACGACTCCCGAAACACGAGGGATGAGATTATCAACAAAAAGTACGAAGAACACAAGGAAAAGTTCAGAGTGGAGAACGCCAACAATAATTTTGAAATTCAGGACTTAACTGATGCTCTACTTAAAGCGGCTTTTGAAGAAAACGCAGCAAAAGTAGCCAAAGGCCTGAAGCCACTGACGGAAGATAACATTATGATGACAATGCAAGACATGTTTAATGCTGGGATCGAGACTTCAACTACGATAATGCGATGGATTCTGCTACTCATGATACGCTATCCTGACGTCCAAGACAAAGTTCACAAGGAACTGGATGATGTTATTGGCTCGGGTCGTCTTCCTTGTTTGAAAGACCGCGAGAAGTTACCTTATTTGGAAGCAGTTACTCTAGAAGCCTTGCGCTTCGTTTCTCTTGTCCCTCTGTCTCTTCCACATAAAGCAACACGGGATAGTACCCTGGGTGGCTATGACATCCCCAAGGGGACACTCTTGATTACAAACGTGTGGGCAATCCATCACAATGCCAAGGACTGGGACAATCCAGACCAATTCATACCAGAAAGATTTCTTGATGAGAACAATCAGCTCATTAAACATGGGCTGAAGAATTTCATTCCATTTGGTGCAGGAAGACGATTATGCATCGGGAAATCCTTGGCCAAGTGTGAAGTGTTCTTGACACTCTCGAGGGTACTTCATCAGTTTGTGTTCAAGTGTCCTCCTGGAGCAYCTTTACCAACACTGGACGGCAACCAGGGTGTTGTTATGCATCCTAAGCCATACAAGATGATCATAGAAGAAAGAGCTTAAACAGCTGCAAGAATGGACCTGTCAATACTCTGTMGTTAACTAAAGGACATGTAAACTAGCTGCTAAACTGGTAATTGAACTGAATAGACCTCTTTAACTTGGGAGTAATGTTTTCCTTTTCAGACTACTTGTCATTCTCTCGAGGATAAGTTTTTAAGGCGGAAAAAAGAAATCATACTCAAGGAAATGACACGTGATCTGCAATGGAAATACCTTACGCCCAATAAGCCTCTTTACCTTGGGGACAATGTTTTGCTATTTCAGACCACGTGTTATTCACACTGGTTATCTACTCATGCACTGCATGTGTTACAGGTGGACAAAAGAAATAATACTCAAGGAAATGACACGTAAAATGGGAATACATTACGCCCAATAGACCTCTTTMCTTTGGGCATAATGTTTTCAGGTCGATCACGTGTCATTCTCTTGAGAATGATTCTTTGTTCGAGTTGTATCCATATTCATGTGTCTTCTCATGTGCAACCGAGCGCCAACCTTAAACAAAGAAATGATACTCTAGGGAATGACACATGGTTTTGAGAATAAGGTTCTTTGTTTGAGTCATATCCATATTCATGTGTCTTCTCATGCGCAACTGTTAAACAAAGAAATGATACTCTATGGAATGACACRTGGTCTGAAATGGGAAAATATTACATCCAAGGTAAAGAAGTATATTATCACAAGATTGTGAAATAATCCATAGTTGTCAGAGCAGAAGATGCTCACTAGAAAATGTTTTGTGTCTTATACTAGACTCTAAAATGAATGACTTTTAATGCTTACTGACTGGAGGTAACTACTGTTCACATTGGACAATATTCGCAGATTAACCAGATTAACCTTAAAGARCGAAGTGTTTTATCACTTCAGACCACGTGTTATTCATTTAGTTTCATTTGCATTAATGTATCTCCTCATACGTTAAATGGTGATAAAAGAAATAATACTCAAGGGAATTACGCGTGATCTGAAACAGGAAAGCATTATGCCTAATCGATTCTGATTTAGATGTTCTTACATATGGAAATATTAAGTTCATGGTTAACCAAATAATTTTAGTCCCTATTACACCATGTATCCACCTCGTTAGCGACATTGATCGCAGAAATAGAATAGAAATCTGCTTTTGCAGCTTTGCGCGCGATAATATACATCACATAAACACGTCTACAACTTAGCTGGAAATAGCGTGACGCTTGTCCAGTAAAAGTTGTGTGACTTGCATGACACACCTTGAAAACTCTTTCGCCAGCAACGATGCACACAAACCGCTGCACGGTGTATCCGAACTTTTATATATTTTTTACTGCTTATTCGAACTATATATCTATTTTTAATAAAAATGATTTACGTACATACCATGTAATTCATCAAACGGGTGATCCGGTAATACTACGACTATATTATAAATATGTAAATACATGGCTAAATTACTAACTATGTAGAGAAAGAYAGTGTTACAACGGCTTATTGTTTTTGGACGATTCTTAAACTTTTGAATAAGAAGAAAATCGTAGTAATAAAGTTAAAATAGTCATAGTCATATTTTCATGTATRTAAAAGCAATGTGATGTATGTTTTATGCAGAGCCCCATTTAATCCAGCTATGCTGAACTGGGCATCTCTGCTTAAATATTGTCCATAAATAAATAAATAAATAAATAAATAGTGTGCACTAATCTTTGAAGTATCGATATCATTCTTTACAGATTCGGCTAATTCTCTTATCTACTGACGCCTAGCCTTTTCCAACTACTTTTTTTCGTGGTTCACTTAAAACTCACCATGGGCTAAATTTAGGGAGCGTTAAGGAGGTTTATCCAAACCCTTTCAGCTACAATTGAACCCGCCGGCAGGGGCGTGGCGTGCCCCCCTCCACGTCCCCGTCCACGTCCCCCCTCTTCCCCCTTTTACTGCAACTACCATCCCCGCTCTTCTGATACAGTAGATGTCTTGAATGAACGCAATAAATTGGATCAGTAATATATCCAATAGAAACTTTATTTCATGAGGATCGACACGTGTGGTTGTAGCAAAAAAGTATTTGTGGCCCTTCAATATAAGCAAACATGCATAGTACAAAGAGAAGGGGTATTTTTAGCTCATTCCTAG